CACAACATCAAATGATAATTGTCAAAATTAACTCCTATATTTGGGATAGCAAAGCTTAGCTTGGAATCATTAATTTAAAAACTAATATTCTGGCCAGGTGCAGTGGCTCACGCCTGTAATCCCAGCACTTTGGGAAGCCGAGGCAGGCAGATCACCTGAGGTTGGGAGTTCAAGTCATGCCTGGCCAAGATGGTGAGACCCTGTCTCTACTAAAAATACAAAAATTAGCTGGGCGTGGTGGCACACGCCTGTAATGCCAGCTACTCCAAAGGCTGAGGCAGGAGAATTGTTTAAACCCGAGAAGCAGAGGTTACAGGGAGCTGAGATTATGCCACTGCACTCCAGACTGGGTGACAGAGCAAGACTCTGTCTCGAAAAAATAAATAAATTTTAAAAAATAAAAAGAAAAACTAATTTTCTAGCTGGGCATGGTGGCTCACACCTGTAATTCCAGCACTTTGGGAGGCCAAGGTAGGTGGATCACCTGCGGTCAGGACCAGCCTGGCCAACATGGTAAAACCCCATATTTACTTAAAAACAAAAACCAAAAAAATGTACGTATGTATGTATGTATGTATGTATATATATATATACACACACACACACACACACAATATTTCCTTTTACGTATATATATGCAGTATTTCATTTTGTTTTAAGTATATATATATATAATATGTATACACACAATATTTCATTTTAAGTGCATATATGCAGTATTTCATTTCGTTTTAAGTATATATATATGTATACATACACACACAATATTTCATTTTAAGTGTATATATGCAGTATTTCATTTTGTTTTAAGTATACACACACACACACACACACACACACACACAAATTAGCTGGGCATGGTGGCAGGTGCCTATAATCCCAGCTACTTCAGAGGCTGAGGCAGGAGAATTGCTTGAACTGGGAGACAGAGGTTGTAGTGAGCCAGAATTGTGCCACTGCTCTCCAGCCTGGGTGACAGAGCAAGACTCAGTCTCAAAATAAAAAATAGAAATAAATAAATGATGAATAAATAAAAACCAATACACTTAAGATTCAACAATTAAAATTAGAAACGCCTTCCCAGGGAGTATAAATACCTACATTATACAATGACAATATTCAAATACATGAAAGTAAACCAGTCTTGTCCTGGGTCAACATTTTATAAATTTGGCCTACAATCTCTTGATGTTCTTTCCATTGACCAACAGAAACTAAAAAACAGAAACAGCATTCTTAATGTTAAAACCAAGCTCTGAGACAGGAGTAGTGGTGTACACCGATAGTCCCAGCTACCCAGGAGGCTGAAGAAGGAGGATTCCTTGAGCCCAGGAGTTGAAGTCCAGTCTGGACAACTTGGTAAGACCCCCATCTCTAAAATAAAATAATAATAATAATAAGCTCTGAATTAGCGAACCTATCCAATATGCTTATTGTATGCACTCATGGCTTCTGGAATTTAGGACAAAGGTACAGACTTATTTGGATGAGGCTCTTACCTAGTCACAGGCACACCTGTACAAACACACATTTAGTACTCTTCCACACAAGCCCCATATCCTTGGCCACATTTCACATATGTTGCTAAGCAGACCAGAAAGAAAGTCATGTACCAGGGGTTGAAAGAATGTCCCTACCATCTCTGCACCTGAGAAACAGAATCATCCAAGTTCTGATCTACATGCCCTTGTTTAATATTCATTTTTAGAGATAGGATCTCCCTATGTTGCCCAGGCTGACTTAAACTCCAGGGATCAAGCACTCCTCTCTCCTCAGCCTCCCAAGTAGCTGTGACTACAGGTGAGTGCCACCATGCCCACCTTTGACCTATGTATTCTAAAATATCACTCAAAAAAGTTGAGGAATCTGTTTTGACTTTGAGACAGGTTGATATAATCCTTTCAACTGGTTATCAACCTGAATGCCGATGCTTATCAGGAAACAATCTGACTGCCCTGTGAAGGAAAATGCTGTGTTCGCTGCTGCACCACAATGCACATGGGACCTCTGCCTACCGCAGACTCCGCTGGCCACAGCCTTTGCTGCTTCTGCTGCCTTGTGCATCGGGGCTCTGGAAGGATTCACAGCCACACTGCTCCCGGTCTCAAAGGCTTTTTTAATCCCTGACACCAGAGAAAATTATTTTCTTAATTCTATAATATTCTGGACCCAAGTATAGATCTTCTTGACTATTTGCAATATTTCATTTTAGTTGTCAATCTTCTTTTAGTTAAAGCTCTCTCGCCTTCAAGAAAATCGGTTATGTCCCATGTTACCATGAGGAAAAAGGTATACAGTCACTACACTGACAGCAGAAAATGAAAACCAAGTCTCAGGATGCAAGGTACCAACTGGGATGTGGACAAATCTTTCACATCTCTTGGATGGTATCTCTGCTTCTCTGTGGAGATCCTTCTATCAGCAGACCTACAGACAGGCACCTCCTGACAGTGAGAGTCACAGTCACAGTCCAATAGCTGGGGGGGTGGGGGGGTGACAGGGAGGGAAGAGGCAGGATTATGTGACCCACTGCCCACTCCAGAAGAGGCATGGGTGAGGAAGAAAATTATGAAATCAAATATTGCTACATTTTATCTAATTTCATATTCTCTTTTACAACCTAATCAATATGTAAGACCATTTATAGGTAACTCATTTTCTTGTAAGCAAAGATCTTTCTTGTAAAGTACGTAAAGACCTTTACTTAGAAGAAAGTAAATTACCACTGCAATTATTCATCTTCTAATTTCTTCAGTTCTTGTTTGTTTTGTGAGACAGGGTCTGGTTCTGTTGCCCTCCCAGACTCAGGCCATCGTCCCACCTCAGCCTCCCAACGAGCTGGGATTACAGGTGCCTGCCACCATACGAGCCCAGTTGTATTTTTGTAGAGAGGGGGTTTTGTCATGTTGCCCAGGCTGGTCTCAAACTCCTGAGCTCAAGCAATCCACCCACCCAGGCCTCCCAAAGTGATGGGATTACAAACGTGAGCCACCGTGCCTGCTCCTTCTCTAATTTCTATCCTTTCTAATTAAACTTCAGAATATTTTTCCCTCATTCTGCCACAAAGTTACAGCTTTGACAATGGTTTTAAATCACTTGTGATTAATAAAGATTCCTATTGAGGAGACCTCCACAAATGTCTTTCTTCTCACCAAATGGCTAGAATAGAGGCAAAACTCAAAGCAGCCTTGTATCTTGTGGGATACAATAAAGTTCTACAGCCAGATAGTAATCAGGTCAAAAATTGCTTCATCTCTGTATATCACCCAAATAACAGGTCTAGAACAAAAATAATTCTAGTTCAGAAAAAGTAGCTGGTCTGTGATCCTAGAAGCAGATAATTTGGGATGCAACTCTACAGATAATGGGGTAAAAGCCAGTAGCCCAATGCACCTCAGTGACACATAAAAGATGATGGATGATGAGGTCATGTGAATGTTGCATCAGGTAACAAGGTTAAATTGAGACTTTTGTACTCTCCTTAATTTTAACTGCAAAGCTGACTTGAAGAACACCTCTCCTGTCCACAAACTCATAAATGAGATTTGCCCAGCAATCGAAGAAAAAGTTCAATTCAAACTTTAGGGAAACAGCAAACGTGAAATAACTTATGAGAAAGAAAATTAAATTAATATTGATGTTAAAGTCACTCCTGCATTGAATTCACTTTTAGAAGGGTTAGGCTGAATTTTATTAAACCTATGCATTCAGATGCTGCATTGGCTTTGGAATTATACAAAACTGAATTTGAATCCTGGCTCTGCCATGTTCCACGTATGTGATCTTGGCCAAGACAGTTATCTTCTCTGAGCCTTAATGTCCTCAGATCTGCCCGGCAGAGCCTCTACACTGCATTTCAGATGCCTGTGCAGGTGCCCTGAGATGATCACCTGGTGGCACTCACACAATGCACAGGGCAGGACAGCCGTCAAATATCCATCTCCTGCTCCCTTCCTGCTGTTTCAATTCTAAATGAACGCTTTTCCTTCGCATTCGGGCTGATGCCACCCATCCATTTACTGACAAGGTGCTTGGAAGTGAGAATAGTATGTGCACATAAAGATCTCATTGGTATTCTAAAAGGATGCTGTATGGAAATATGACAGTTTACCCAAAGACACCTTTAGCACAGACTCAGGCTTCCTTAAGCCTTTCAGGTGCTCAGATCCACTGCCTAACAGTGTTTCAAGGACCATCTGCAGCCTAAAGACAATTCCACGTAAGTATCCTGAAGAGTAACGTTTATTTGTCGCCAAGGGCTCATTTCTCGCCCCAGATTAGATTACTCACTAATTCGTTTTAGGCCTGGTGATTACGAATTTATGTTTCCCTGAATAATTGTTTCATTCTGCAGTGGATCACTGTTCATTTCCAGAAAGGTTTTTGACAGTCATAAGATGATTTCAAGAATATTATTTTATACCAAGTAATCCAAATATCAAAAGACCTCTTCCCTGTTTGATAAAATTAAGAAAAATATATTCACTAGGTAAAGTTAGAACATCAAAGTTAATCAGAGAACCAGAATCCCATATGGAATCAGTCCAAAGTTAGGCCTAAATAAATCACATGCTAAGCCTATGAATTCTTTTTTTCTTAAAATCGGGGAAACTATCAGTGACACTGATTAAACATCACCAAGAATGTAGCCCCCAAAACAACTGGGATGTGAGCTCCCTTTGCATCCTGGTTAACCTCTGCACTCTTGTCAAGGCAAGTAATGAGAGTAAATGTGTTTAACAGCGCCTACAACATGCTATGTACTCTTCTTGAAATCTGCATATATTAACTCACTTTAATCCTCACAATAACGCTATGAAGTAGGTGTTATTATTAATACCATTTCACAGATGGGAAGGCCTGGGCAGAGACCTCTTAGGTAATGTGCTCCTGGTCAGAGAGCTAGAAAGGACTAGAACCAGGATTCAAATCTAGGCAACCAGACCTCAGAATTCTTGAGTTAATCACTACCTTATGCTGCCTCTAGTGTCCTGAAAATCAGAAACTCAGTGCCTAAGATCCTCATTGTTCTTACCACCATCTCCAAATGAATGATTTCATGTGTATAAATCACAGCTTCCCATGATCACTTAAATTAGCATCTCATCCTTTCTTCTCATATTTAAATTGAAGATTGTTTTTGAAAAATCTTTATGACAACAAATTTACTCATCACCCTCCAAGAATGTGCTGAACCAGATTTCAGTGCCCATTGGAAGGTTAAAAAATAGGTATTGTGGGTAGGTCACATTGTCCGTGATTCAGATATTAAATCTCATCTCTTTTAAATTTTGCGTTACCCAAGTGATACCAGGGAAGAGAGTCTCCAGAGCTATGCAAATTGGGTTTAATCTTTCTTAAGTTCATAATCATTTTTTCACCCTTTACTTAAAGCAATTTTTACTTTATTAAGTATATATTTGAGATATCACAAGTTAATGAGCAAGAAAGAAAAAGACAATCTTACGTTCCTCTCAAACATCTATATAAGTAATGATAATCAAAAACAAAAATCGTATGGCTCTGCTATAAGGAAAACACCAGTCAATAAGCAAAATGGAAGAATATCATCAGAATCAATAAAGGTACAAATAGAAAAATAATTTTGACCTTTAATGCCATGAATTCTTTTAAGCTAATGTACACACCTAGACTTGGTAGGGGTAGCCTAGGCAGTGGCAGAGTTTTTGGATGTGGATGAGCAGAACAGATGGTTTTTGTGGTCCCTGTCTGATACATAAGCCAAGCTGTGTTCCTGGGTCAGAGCATCACAATATCCTTGAACTTCAAGGAACCTGCATTCCAGTAGAGGAATCTAAATACCATACCTACATGTAGTGAAGTCTGTATCTGTCTCTCAGAGACCCACGTGTGAACACACACACAAATGGGCCATCATTACAGGCTTATTAAAATGAAGAATCCCTTATATCTATAACTTCCCAGTTCTCAAGAGCTGAGACGTTGATATGCGAGCTATGCTCCCATGTCTCCATTCCACAACCATCGAATAAAGCCTGCACTGCTTGGCACTCACTTTTGGTTTGTGTATCGTCTTCACAATGCCGAACAGGAAAGAGCCCCTTTTGGGGTAACTGGGACCCCCAGTAGCAGCATTTCCACATATAGCATTGTTGAATTTACCTTAGGAAATGTGTGGAATATCATCAAATTGTGACAGCCCCTGCTCTTAAGGAGGTCTTGTTTAACAAGGGAGTGTTTCCAGCTTTGTGACTTGGTTTATTGCTTCATACCTGAACGTGCTCCCTATTTTTTTTCTCCTATGTTTTCCACAGTTCAATATTTGTCATCTTTAGTTAACCTGGAGCACCTCTTTATGTTTGTTTTAGGTTTACAGTGTGGGATTTAAATTTTGGCTCGAAACTACCATCTCTCTCTGCCAACATCATGTGTAAAAAGTTCTTCTGTCTTATTTGAGAGTGTTATTTGATATTAAAATTGATCCAACTTGCTTGCTAGCTATTTCTCAACTGCCCTCTGGGCTTCTATTCATTTACATCAACCCGGGTACCACCCTGCCTTAAGGATTGGTGTTTTAAACTGGAATCCAGTGGTTGATGGGTTAAATACTCTGTAGGTGCATTGTTACAGAAGATACCATTGGACTTTGGGGCACATTAACATTCACATACATGAATTTCAGAATCACACAAAGGTTTAAATGAAAATGATTTTTCTTACTTTAAGGAAGAAAACTCACACAGGAGGAGGCATCCAAATATAAAATTGGTAAAAGGAACCCACTGGCTTCTCCCACTCTACCCAAATTAAGAAAAAAGAAGTAGACTTTGTAGAAATCTTTCACAAATTCTGACATTTAGAAGAGTTAAACTTGCCCAAAATAGAGGGCTTGATAGTAAAAGATTTTTTGTTCCTTTCTTCCTGTGTACTATTACTAACAGAAACAACTGGCTTCAACTTGTTCTAGTTCATTAAAAATAAAAGGGAAAAAAATGGCTAATAGCAAATTCAAGAGAGTAGCTTGGCTCTTAGTAATTTAATTCTAATTTAATTCTAAATGTAATAACACGCTTATTAGAAATGGAAGGTCACTCTCCCAAAAATTTCCCTAAAGGCACAGCTGCCAAATTGACTTCTGATCTAGCCTTTACAGTATTATTAATTCAATGACATCATAAAGCTGGCAAGGGAAAGCTTCACGCTTGCCCTACAAAGACAGATAGCAGTGCCTTAGAGAGGTCCTTACATGTTTCTTAGGAAAGTGACCTGAAAAAATAAAAGTCAGCTTATGTTTTCTTTTTCCCCCATTGTCCTGATAAAGGATTACAAATGCTTTTCTCTCGCTTTTGGGAAAAGCCTACCAAACTGGATATCCCACTTATTTTTGTCCTACATCTTTGCTCTGCCATCATGCATTAGCAGCAAAGCATTCTCTTTCCAATGGTATAGAGATAGCTTATCTCAGGGCAAGCCCCCAGGATTTGGTCTAAGGTTAATGTTGGAGAAAGGGCAGAGCCTCCTCCAAGGTTCCCCCAGCTCAGACAGACAACCTTTGAAAGGCGCCTGGCATGCAGCTGGCCTCAAAACCATGACTTGGCAACAAACTCTAATTAAATGAAACTCGATCGCAGAGTGCTTGTTGATCTTCACTTGTCTAAAGTTCCAGACTTGGACAGCAGGTTGAAACCTGCTATGATCATAATCAGCACAATCGATAGCTTTTAGAAAGAACTTTTTCTAAATAGCTTTCAAAGGGTCACCTCCTACTATCTGTAACTCGAATTCAAACGACCGTCTGCAAACCTGCCTCGAGTGACTCACTGGCTCTTCCAGACAATGAAGAGCTTGCACATATAAAACCTTCCGAGGCAGACGATTTTTTAGACAGCTTTCACTGAAACAGATCATTCCATTTTTACCATCAACCCTCCTTTCCTCCTATGATAGGTCCGGCTACCTTTATTTTTTCCTAAGTGCCGACAAGTAAATATTGATGTAATATTATCACCAAATCTTACCTAGGTAGCCATACCATTCATCCACAGGTCACCAAGAGCAGACTACAGTAGTACAAGGTTGGGTTTATTGGCTCTTTGTAATCAGGGAGCCAGCAGTCTATGGGAATCTATGGGGTGGCTCTGAGCAAAAGAGCTTTAGGAGTGACCTGCTGAAGATTTGGGCTCTTGTTAGATGATTTTGGGGAAAGTTCACAGAAGTATGGTTTTGCTCTGGAATTGGCAGTATCTGAAAGCAGAGGCAAATCTGTGATTGGATCTCTTGAAAATTTTATCTGGAAGAAGCTAACTTTTTTTTTTTTTTTTTTTGGAGATGGAGTTTACCCTTGTCACCCAGGCTAGAGTGCAATGGCACGATCTCAGCTCACTGCAACTTCCATCTCTTGGTTTCAAGTGATTCTCCTGCCTCAGCCTCATGCGTAGCTGGGATTACAGGCATGCACCACCACCCCTGGCTAATTTTTGTATTTTTAGTAGAGACGGGGTTTCACCATGTTGGCCAGGTTGGTCTCAAACTCCTGACCTCAGGTGATCTACCCTCCTTGGCCTCCCAAAGTGCTGGGATTACAGGCGTGAGTCACCGCACACAGCCAAAGCCAACTCTTTAATAGGTCAAGAAGTAGCAGTCACTCATAGGAGGAAAGGGGAATGTCTGGTCATTTTTGGTGGCCTGGACACAGGTAATTTTAGATGCACATCTGCCTCTATGGTAACACTTTTAAATTCTAAGTTTTGAAATAATACAAATTAGATTATTTCTGGTGACAGCCAAATAACTGTTAGCTGAGGCAATCAGTCAGGAGTTCATCACCTCTTAGTTATTAAGAAGAGAGTGTGCACGTCCCTACCAGTGGCCTTTGTGCCAAGTCACGCAATCTACCCAAATGTTTCTAATAGCTCTTAATGCTTCCCTGAGTTCACTACTCCAATCTGTAAAACTGAAATTATTTAGAAGATGATACTGCCAATTAAATGTAATAGAACAGAGAACCAAAAATAACGTTACCCCCATCAAATTAATAAAACCTAAAAGGCAAAAGACAGGCCTTCCGAATATTTTGCAGAATGCCAATCTGCTACTTCCGGGCCAGGTTTCATTTGTAGCAACTGCTCATTTTAAAGACAAAATATGTACTAAATTACGTGTTAACACACACAGTAGGTATTTCCTGAATGACCAAAGTCAAGTGCTACATAATAGTTTTAACAAGGTCATCATTCTTCATTTTACCCAAAGATTCTAAAGTACCTGTTTAACACCAACATTTGTGTCCTAAATAGATCACAAATACTTTCTTCTCCTTACGAAGACTGCAAACTGGTGTGGTTGCAGCCAGGATCTAATCTAAGATTTATTTGGGCTACGCAGAACAGATGTCTGTCTCTTCCTGAAAAATCAGAAGTTCTGGAACACTGGGACTGAATTCCTACGGGAAACAACTGCTTGGCAGTGAGTAGTGGCTGAACATGTTCTGCCGCTAGTGACAATCCCCATCTGGTCCATGACAGACATTTATGTTGCTGTCTCACGCCTGCAGGCATCTAAGCATGTAACTCCTGCTTCACGGAGAGGGACATTGGGGCACAGAGTCAGTTTCTGAGACGGGAGGGAGAGATCACTGATATATGCAATGTGCTCACTAAACCATTCTCAGTCTCCTACACCTCCTAGACAAGGCATAAGAGGGTACAGACAGCTCCTCCTCTCGTTTCACACTTTGGTTCCCTGACCTGAACACCAAATTCATTTCATGTGGCTTTCTGGAGTTATAAAGCCAGTATATTAGGTCTTATGCTTAGGATTTTTCCCAACTCCCCTGGACAATATATATCCCAAAGTAATGAAGAAAAAGTATCTTTTTTTTTGAGACAGAGTCTCACTCTGTCACTCATGCTGGAGTGCAGTGGCGTGATCTCAGCTCACTGCAACCTTCATCTCCTGGGTTCAAGTGATTCTCCTGCCTCAGCCTCGAGAGCAGCTGGGATTACAGGCATATAATATCACACCCAGCTAATTTTTATAATTTTAGTAGAGATGAGGTTTCACCATGTTGCCTAGGCTGGTCTTGAACTCCTGGCCTCAA